TGTAATCGTTCGTCTTGACCTTGAGCATCCGAGCTTGCACCAATGGCACTAGTGCTTCCTTCTGTTCAGTCCGTGCTGCCTACATATTGATTTTTACATACAAGTGAGCAAAACGGGTAGATAATTTTTGCCTGAAAAAGCTAGATATATATGAAGCCCATATAGAACTCAGGGAGATGAAAGGAGCGTTTTGGAAAGCCTGTCAGTTTAGTTTTCTTGCTATATACCTCTCCTTGTTGACGTAGGGCATCTTGATCCATCAAGAAACTGTAGTGTCTCCCTGAAAGAAGAAACCAGTGAAGACCATGAAGAGTCAAACGTATTTCCTCCAAAAAAAAGATAAATCACACATTCACACCTCCGATCCTACACATAACTGGAACCTATTATTTAGTTCCGTCACCAGATATGCATGCTTTCCAAGATCTACTTATCTCGTATCTTGTTGAAACTTAATATAAACTAGGCCGGACCAGCTGGATGGAGCTTGTTTTAGAGCGAGGTAAAACAGGACATTGAGTACTCAATAACCATATCTTTACGGATTCAAGGCTTGAATCATGGAAAACAAACTCAAGGACCTCTAGGAGGAAGAAAGAACTACTCGCACAAACCAGCAAATGAAGTCGAGAACAAGGCGAAGGTGATGAAAGCAAAGAGGTGGCCAGATCTCCATGGGCATGGCAGCGTCCCCATTTCTGAAATCATGCACTGGATATACTCTGGTAACACGCTCAAAACATGAACCTGAAGCGAGGTGAAGTGAAGCAGGCCTTATTTTTGCCCCACCTTTCTTTGGCCACGGCAGCCTAATATATAACCAAGTCAGCTGGGCAGTCTCTAGTCTGCAACAGATGCTAATCCCACTTCCTTTGAACAAGTTCCAAGGGAAAAGGGTTTTGAGAATTTTCTGTGGGCAGAGTGTCAGGCTGTCACCTGCTTTCTGCTGCATGGAATTTTAAGGATGGGGTAATCATGGTTGGTCTATGCTTGCTTACTACTTTTTAAATATTTGTACAGTACTCCCTCCATTTCCAATTATAAGACGTTTTGGTTTTTCTAGATACGTATACTTAGATATATACATTATGCCTAGATATATGGTAAAAGCAATGTATCTAGAAAAACCAAACCGTCTTTTAATTTGGAACCGAGGGAGTACTTGACAATTGAAACTGGACAAATGTCTTCTTTCAGTTACAGTAATAATTTCTTTTATACTGCTTCTCCAGTACATCAGCACATGTTTTTTTAGGAATGGCTATTCGGCTCGTTCGCTTGTTGATTTCAGTCAGGGCTTATCAGTCAGTCAATAGTGTTTTCCTCTCACAACAAAGTAGCACCAGCCGAGCGTATCAGCCTAGAAAACCAACCAGCGAACAGGCCGATTGTATTTTGATGATGTGATTTCTGCCGGTTGTTGCTGGCATGCGCAATTCAAAGCTGGTTGTATGTGTTCTTTCTTTCGGTAATTTTTTTTTATTTTGAATTTAAGAGATTATTCTACATGCTGAGGAATATGATTACCAGTGTTAGCGTTGCGTTCCAAACTAGTGGGACAAAAAATAGTAGGTCGATGGACAACAGGATCTTCAGTATCTGCATGAAGTAATTTGATTCCTTCACCCTTTTTTTTGTGTAATTAATTTATCGTCACCGGTAAACCTGGAATAATTAATGCACTCAAAAGCATAGTAGGTTGTTAAAAGAGGCAAGTTGGCTGAAATGAGAAACAGCTGCACAGTGCGTCACATTGTTCAGTATACACATTGGGATAGACATGAAACAGTGGTCACGCTGGCTCTCGTTTTTGCCACCACCGTATAGTTAGTGTTCACACGTTCCATCATCATGTCATGGGGAACACCTCAAAGGTAGAGCAGTGGCATGGAGATAGATCAAAGGGAAAAGGCCTGCCACTGCCAGCCTAAAAGAATTGCCACCGACGATTTAGCGACCGGCCGCTTCTCATTGGTTTTGTAGATATGCACGATTTTTGCCCAATGGAAGCACTATGTTGCGGAATCAGGCAGAGGGAATACTGCAGGGGAAAGACACAATGCAAAGTGGCCTTGATGATACCCTGATAGAATGTGACCATCACCATGAACAACGATGCAAAGCATATTGTCACAAGAGGGCAGTAGTGGAGGATAAAGCAGGAGCTCCACTACGGGGTGAGTGCTCTGAACAGTGACATTGTGATAACATGACCGCACTATCAGAAATATAGAACTTAGGAAAGGTCTAGTAATTTTGGTGGTCGAACGAAAACATAACTATTATAATAAATAATGTTTGCTAGTATACAAGATACACTAGGTAGTCCTAAGGATAGAAAGATGGACTTGACCTTGGATATGGTGAAGTTCAAGCAATTAACACCTCAAAAAAAAGATCAAAGAATAGTGTTCGAGGCCCTAGAAGACGAGCAAGAAGCTCAAGACATCAAGAAAGCAAAGCTTGGACAACAGGATGCAAAGAAACAACACTCGGATAATAACAGTGGAGCTTTCCAATATGCACTGTAGTGCGATAGAACAGTACGTAGCACCAAAGCTTTTCTATTGTGACGAGTCCGAGGTAGAGTAAGCAACAGTGCACGGTGTGCTTTCCATATGGGCACCAGAGTTTAGCACCGGAAATTCAGTACTGAGACCTTGCGCAAGCACGGTGGAGAAAATAAGAGCACCGGCATTCTCCAGTGAGGCACGGAGAATGCACTAGAGATTGAAGGTGGAGTCCAGAAAGATTCTAGTCCTCTAGACAACGCCTAGATTTATTTGGTGCGGCACTAAGAATCCACCGGATGAATAGGCTTCCAATGGTCGGCAATGGGCGTGGCAGAGGCACCAAATTTCTCCAGTGTGGTCACGGGAACAATCCGTTGCTCATTGCAAATGCAGCCCAAAGGATCCAACGGTTAGTTGAGTTGGCTGGGGCTATATATATCCCCGTACCCGGCTGTTTTGGAGTGTGTCTGAGTTTGAGAAAACTATAGGTGAGTTGAGACTTATCCATTTGTGCTCTATCCACCGTATGTGCTTAAGAGAAGATTAGGTGATTAGATGAAGTACTTGGATTAGTGTTTAGGCTAGTTAGAGGTTGCATTAGCACATGAGGTTGTGGCTGTTGTACTGTTGCCTTCGGCGCTAGGGGTAAAATGGTAATTTTATGTACAACACCGTTAGATCCTCAAACTAACGGAAGGGCCAAGAAAGCAAACGAATTTCGTTTTAGGGCCAAATAGAGAAGTTCAAACAAAAAGGGCCGAGAAAGGAAACACAACTTTTTTTTAGGGCCAAGGAACTAATTTCTCCTTACCAAAAGTCTGATTTCTATGGTGTTTTTTTTTTTAAATAGAAATTTACTGTTTGAAATAATGTTATTGTTGTATAGTTTTTTAGTTGGTGACTAATTCTGTAAATTTGTAAATGGAAATTTTATGTTTTTTTCTAGGGGAATGAAAATTTTATAAGTAGAAATATTGTTGGCCCGCTTTCTTGTGCTCTTCGGCCCAGTTTGCATCTATTTGCTCACTGCGTTGGCCCACTAGCTTTGAGCCTATCCGATGCAGTCCGCCCTAAACTTCACCTGGTTGGTGGGCTGGTTTAATATTGAGTGTTTGAATAATTGACCAAAAAATACAAATACAAAATCATTGCAAATCTAAAGTTACATGTCTAAAATAATTCCACCGTTTCACTAATTCGTGGTCAATGTTCAAATTTTGCAATGTCTAGTGCATATATAAGTAGAATTGAACGCTTAAAAAGTATAGAACAATTGAATAGCACTATGGGAACAATTAGGGATGAAAACAAATCGGATACGGACGGATATCACTGATATTATATTTATTTTCATATTTCTGTCCGAATTCAGATTCGAATACGGATAGTGTCAACTATGCCGGATAGGATACGATTTAATATTGACATCATAAATATACGATTTGAGTATTCGGATACGGATACGGTATCGGATGTTGAATATCCGGACTTGGATACGGGCAGATCTCAACCCCTCTAAACGGATTCGGTCTCGAATACGGTCGGAAAATATCCGTACCGTTTTCATCTCTAGAAACAATGAGGCTTTACTTACTGGAACAAACCGACGGTAAGCACAAAAATTCTTAAAAAACGACAGAACAATCATATTAGTTATGCGAACAACAAACCATATTATGAAACAATTTAAAATAAACAAAATAGACTATCAAACATGCAACACGGTCTAAAAAGTAAATCATGGAGGATTGAAAAATATACAAGAATATTGCATTGCATTAGAGGGGAAATTCACTGTTGGATAAGAAAATAGCAATAAACATGTAAAAAATGCTATAGGATAATCAAATTTCTGCCGGTATAATAAAATTGTGTTGCGAAACAATTTAAATCAACAGCAAAAATAATCCAAACAACTTATCACATCCATGAAAGAAAAAAAATGAAATCTATACTACAAATACACAATACAAGGAAAAAATTAGAACTTAAGAAGATATTCAGTCTCATAGATCACTCCGGTCATAATAAAACAAAAAAGGAGAAGGAAGTCACCTTAACTTAACAAAGAAATCACTACACCACAACACCAGGATTAGCGATGGACGGACTGACGCTAAAAGCGGCTACAGCGACAGACAATCTGATGCTAAAAAGTTATAGCGACAGACTTCTGTAGACGTTGTAAGCCCTGTCGCTAAAAATCTTTAGCGTCAGACAGTACTTTTAGCGTCAGACGGCTCGTTGCCCTGAATTTTTTTAGCGACAGATAGTCAATTGCTACTTTTTGGCGACAGATGCTCTGTTACAAGACATATACCGACAGATCATCCAACAGTTCATGTATTTATAGCGACAGATTGCTCTACAAGACAATATAAATATATAAAAAAAATACAATGAGAAAATATGTAGCACATATCATACCTGGATTCAAGCTTAAGGTCCATCACATAAAGATATAAAAACACATACATCACATGGAGATCAATACATATATAACAACAATCTTGTCTTGCACAGTACATCATCCAACAAGGTCTTGCACAATACATCATTTGGATCTGATACACTTGTAGAACTAGTAATCAGACTAGATACATGAGGGCAGTCGAAGGTACCCGAACAACTTGGGCATGATAAACGTAGTGGCTCACAACCACGATATCTGTCATTAAAACACAAGAATATTTGAATAACTGAAATACTGCAACATTAACGAAATTGATATGTTAGAGGTTTACCTCTCATCTTCATCATCGATTACATATAATAGCATCGTAGATGTATCTTGATTGCTAGACTCAGTCACTCTTGATTGGAACTGATCCAGGTAATAAGAATCAGCAAACTCTATATTGAAAGAAATGATGCCAATCATTTAAGATATCGAAGACTCAACAGAAAATGCGCACCTTAGCCGAATCAAGTCCCAGACATTCAGCCAGACGAGCTGGACTAGTACCCTGAATGGAAGCACACAGACGAGAAACAACAGGATGAATCTGCAAAGGCAATTTAGAATCAGCAACACTGTATATACTATAGCATATGGAAAGACAACTGTATTTTTCCAAGAAGGGAAAATGTATTGCAATGGTGAAGAACCTGTTGTGACAAACAATAGTCAATGTCAATCATCCACTTGTCAGGGTCTCTTTTTAACTCCTCGGGATGTCTAGCTCTCTGAGCTATTCCCACAGAATGTGTATTATCTGAGTCCTATATAGAATGACAAGTGAGTCGAGTCTGTCTTGTGGAAAAAGCACTATTGGTATGACAAGTCTCATCCAGTAGCGGTGGGGGAGCAAGTATACGGCGGCAACCGAGTAGTAGTAAACACAGGTTTTGAACCGTAGGAACATGGGCAAGTACATGTTTGAGGATGTGTAAACAAAAAGTTCTGACTACTCCCTCCGTTTATCCATATTCTTATCTGGTGAAGAAATGTTTCAAAATGTTAGTTCAGCAATAAAATCAAGATTGTGAGTTGTTGTAAAATGTGAATATCATTAGAGATATGTGTTGGTCTGTTTTTATAACTTTGATGAGATTTAGTGCTTTCTGGTCTGTATACATGATGAGCTTAGCCTTGGAGGCTTGGACAGATTGTGAAACAAGAGTACCAATCAGTGTCATATGACAGGTTGACAATCCAAAATTTTGCAATGTGGATAAGCAATTGATGATTTAGTGAGCATGCAAAACATAAAAGACATCATTTAGTAATACCTGCTGAGAGCAAATTATATAAGGGACTGTGTCACCAGCTGAGCAACCAGAGTAACCATTTTGCTTGTCTCAAAGCAACCTGAGGAACCAAGTTTACACATTTATTAGCTCATCACTTTTCTGGCTTGAAATCAGGACAAAACAAAACATGGATATGCAACTCTTACCTGAACATGAGGCTTATTTTTAGCATCTGGATAATCTTCTGGCGCTTTTGTTAAGCTCTTTGTGATAACATATTTTTCGAAGACCTTAATTTGAGTGAGTGAGTCTTAACTTCCTACCCATTTTGTTTTAATAAGAGCTGGATTGCATCGAATGGACTACATTCTTTCAGATTTAATTGCGGCTATGTCACTTACTATTGTTGTGGTTTTCAACAAATAGTTGGAACGAAGAAGTTGCTAAACAGATTGGGGACTGCTACTGGTATTTAATTTTTCATATTTCCAAGACTCTCGAAGAATTTGTGTCAAAGGATGGTGCTTCACCCGTGGCAATTGACTGTTTCAAGGAAACTGTAAGTACAAAGTTCATGACATACTAGAAACTAAGCGCGGCGTTGCCGCGTGCTTGTCTGTGTTGGGCCAGCCCGCATGCGTGAGTGAGTTTATACCGAGACAATCAGTGTGGGATTAGCCCATTTGCTTGCATTACATCTTGATAGAAATGATTGTATACACATTGATGTAAATAATGTGTATAAGATGGTTCTATTTGTAGAAGAAATATAATCATGACAACTCTAAGTACGTGGCACTAAAGTTGAGAATGCAGTTGCTTAACTTGTTGCATAGATAGTGAAGCATATTGATTTATGTAAAAGGTACAGATATTGTTGGAGTAAGGAAAAACTAAAGCATTGATTCGAGGTGTGTCTATAACTGAGAAGAAGAAGGCGTGTCTATAACTAAGAAGAGAAGAATAAACGGAGTTTTCTTATGTAAAGGTATTGTACCGCTCTTTTCTGGGATTGCAAGTGCACTTGCTTGCTCACCAGCAAGGACAACCGTAAAAAAATAGGGCCGATGCGCCTAATACCGAAATTTCAGATTTGCCAACATCCATCCTTGCTAGGGTGCATCACCGCTGACAACCTGAGGCTGTAAAACAATCTTCTCATATGTAAGGTGGACCTTAAGGTGGTAACAGAATCTTATATCACCTATAAGCAGAAACAAAGGAAATTATATTGGTGAGGTATTATTGATCACATTTGGACTGGTAGTGGGAAGAATAACTTGAGAAGAATATTATGAAATTCCATTATTGAAACTGGTCATGTTTTGCTAGGCTCATGTAAAATTATTTTTATGTATTTAAAAGGTTAAGATCCATGCTTAGTAAAAGCAAGAAAAATTTGGTACAGGACGTGTAAAATGATGTCGAGTTAGTGGTGAATACAACAAAACACTCTGGCATCAAGGTAAGGGCGCGTTTGTTTCTGGACGTGCTTTGCCTTGCTTTGCTGACACGGGAAACGATAACCTTGCCCAGGCAAGCAAATTCATCGCCTTAATTTCAGTCCGTAAATACTAAATGTTTTGCCACCTAACCTCATTTGGTCAGCACAAGTTAAGATCCTGGCAATAAACATAATAACATTGCACGTAACAGTGCTGCCAAGGAATGTCTTCCAATATATCCTAACCATTTGTGTAGCAATTGCAAGACCATTAGATCATGCTTGAATAAAACTATGTTTATGTGCATTAGAGAAAAATAGCAGTATTCTTTTAACATAAGGGAGAGAGGGAGCGAGCAAGAGAGACACTTTACAAAGGTAAAGGCAAGAAATCATTACCTTTCATAGATGATGAGAACATGTGTATAACATGTGGCATACTGACATGTGATGGGAATTGCAGTGGTTGTAACATATACACATCTAGGTTTCATCAGATGTTCAACATTGAAGACGTTGCTCGTACTCTAAAAAGTAATAGTTCATTCAGGTAACATCAATCTTAACAGTATAACTGAAAAGCATTACAAACAATAGACAGTAGTGCACCTTAGACTTGTTGCAGATTAATTTGTTTTTACTGTTAAGTTTTAAGACATGTTTTGCTCTGAGATGCCTATAATCAGATGAAAATGCACAAAGATCACACCTTTTATTATTTTATAGGAACAATGATGCTTGTTCATCACATCCACTACTGAAATCTGATTTGGGGATTAAAAATATAAGGAAATAGAAAGAATCCAAATAGCTGAAGATACCTTCCGACCCAAGTCTGCACGCTCAAGCTTTGACCGTGACAGTCCAATTCCACGAACTTCCTTCACGTCTGGAATGTGAGATTAAAAGCATGTTTCAGTGCATTTGAGAAAAATAGCAGTATTGTTTTAACATGAGAGAGAGAGGGAGGGAGAGAGAGAGCGATTTAAAATTTATAATATAGGGTACTTCGCACTTTGCAATGGTAAAGCTGAGAAATTATTAGCTTTCATTGATGATGAGAACGTTTATAACATGTGACGTACTGACATGTGATGGGACTTGCAGTGGTTCTAACATATAGGTATCAAGGTTTCATCAAATGTTCAGGAATCAAATGCTAAGTCGTTGTTAGTATCGAAAACGTCACTCTTACTCTAAAAAGTAACAGTTCCTTCAGGTAGCATCAAGCTTAATAGTGTAACTGGAAAAGCATCTACAAACAATAGGCAGTAGTGCACATAATATGGTGTGAACACACCATAATGTCATTATTTTGTATACCTGGCTGGATTGCCTTGCAATATATTATCAGTGTAGCTATGGTATGATGAAAATAAATTAAAATTATATTTTACTGTTGGTTGTGATTTGAGTACGTGCTATGATTACCAGAGTTTATGTCGACAGATGATGCTCCATGTTGAAACAGCTTGGTCCTATATGTGGCCACTCTGAACTCCTTCCGTGGTGCAGAGTCTGCCAGTCAAATTGATTGGTAGCATTTCCTGCAGCACGAAGGAAAACCAATGGATATTTATGTACATGCATACTGAAGCTGGAAAGATAGCACCTGATGAGGTATACATAAGTAGCACAAAGGAATAGTTAGGTGACTGCAAGGCGCCGACCTGACGAAAAATTAGCAAGAAGAGCCCTTTTGGGCATTTCATCGAGCACTTGAAGGGCACAGAACACCAAAAGCAAAGGAAGCATCAGATGGGGAGCTCACGATGCACAGAGATGAAGGAGAAACAATCGAAGACACACCACAGAGAAAATGGCAGTGTACCTCGACGTGGACGGTAGATCAGGGCACGGGTGTCATCCGCGCCACGTGGGGAGGTGCGACGGCGGGTCAAGCACGAGAGCGGCCCTGGGGTGGACACGATGGCGAGCGGAGGCATTGCGGGAGGGGCGATGGAGAGGCAGAGGGGACGGCGGAGGCAGAGGGAGGCACGAGGGAGAGAGGCAGGGAGAAGCTCGCTGCGTCAGCTGCGGCGACAGAGGAAGGGCAGCGCGGCGTCGCGGCGTGCGTCCGAGCGGCCCTGTTTTGCCGTGGCAGCGTGGGGGCTGGGGTAGATGAGGCCGAGACGACGGAGCTGCGGCGCCAGGTCGGGGGGCACCGGCCGGGGGCCGCAGCCGCCGTGTCCGTGCCTACCGGGACCTGCTGGTGAGGGAGAGGGGGGGCCGACCGTCGCCAGGGGCCGGCCGTGGACGACGCCCCTCCTCGGTGTCGTCAGGGAGCCCCAGCACGACGCCCCAGATGCGGAGGAGCACGAGGGGGAGAGGAGGTCACCGTCGGTGAGGGGAGGAGAGCTCGACGCCGTTGGTGAGGGCGAGGGGGAAGATCCGGCGAGATTTGGGGCTGGCCGGGCAGGCGCCATTTGGGAGAGGGAGAGGGCGACGGCGCGCGGGCAGATTGGGCGCTTCTGGATTTGGGATTTGGGCTAGGGTTTCTGTACTTGTGGGCCAGGCCAATATTTGCCCAGGAGATGAAAGTAAACGGGCGCGCGAGCTGAATATGCGTGCGAGGGTGGGGCCCATTTATTTTTGGCGACAGACAGATTGACAGTATACCTCATTTTAGCGTCGGACAGTTAAACGTTAAATATGAGTACCTATGGTGACAGACAGCAAATCGCTAAATGAGGATTTAGCGTCAGATTGTCTGTGAGTTATCTTTAGCGTCAGATCATCCATCGATAAAAAAAGTTTTAGCGTCAGATGTCTGACGGTAATATGGTGTTGTGGTGTAGTGAATAGCCCAGCAAAGCGAAATAGCCATGGAAAAAGAGAACAAATCCACCCATGAAGCGGTTTTGAAGTTCACCCATCTGCATGGGCCACTATGAGAAAAATGACAATTTGCTCTTCTCAACAATGGGCTTCGCAGTATAGCCCACAGCCCGGGTGACAGATATTGCTGAGGCACGCATGACTTTGCAATGTGTGTACTTCAAAATCAATTGACAAAATCATCCCTTTGTGAAATGTTTAATTTGCTTGAAACCAAGCAGCCAAACTCACATACGTGAAGCAGATGAATGGTCGACAACTGTGCAAGTTTAGAAAGTTCTGCAGGCTGAAGAGTTGGTGACATCGAAACAGGACAGTTTCTGCTGTTAAAGATTAGCCCACTGTCTGGACTGAAACCGGATGTCGTGTGCACAAATTTCTCCACACAGTGCCCTATCCTAAACTCTACTGACTGTAGCGTTGTAGAAAGAGATACCACTAAATGTCAAAAATATCCTGCTACGCCCCGTTCGGCTGGAGGAATTCTGGATGAAATTGGATGAAAAACACTGTTCCGGATGAATTGTTGTGAGAGAAAAACACTATTTTGAATGAAAAAAAATATAGATAAGCCAGGTTTAAGGGCAGATGAACGGGACAGTGCTACTTATCCTTTGGCCTTCATGTCCCAACAACCAAACTGAGAAACAATATGGCCATGGCAATGGGGCTCTTCACCTTGCTACCGCCACTCGTTGCCGTCCTGATGATCCCCACTGTGAGCGCCGGTGATGAGGCGGCGCTGCTAACTTTCAAAGCACAAGTAGCCATCGATGGCAGTTCTGGTATGCTGGCCTCATGGAACAGCAGCACCAGCTTCTGCAGCTGGGAGGGCGTGACATGCAGCCGTCGGAGGCCAACACAGGTGTCGGCGTTGAACTTGCAAGGCGGCGGTATCAAAGGAGCACTCCCCCCGGCAATAGGTAATCTGACTTACCTGCAGACGCTCAACCTGAGCGCCAATGAGCTATATGGTGAGATCCCAGCAAGCCTGGGCCATCTCCGGCGCCTGGAGACACTCGACCTTAGCAACAACTTATTCTCCGGGGAGTTCCCTGCTAATCTCAGCTCCTGCATCAGCATGACCATCATGGTGCTAGACGGCAACAAGCTTGGTGGTCACATTCCGGCCGAGCTCGGAGCAATGACTTCCCTGGAAGCAATATCGCTGAGCAACAACAGCTTTGCAGGACCCATCCCTGTATCACTGGCCAATCTATCTCATCTGCAGTATCTCAGTCTCTCCAGCAACCAGCTCGATGGATCAATACCACCAGGACTCGGCAGCATTCAGAGCATGTGGCAACTCCATCTCTACAACAATAACCTCTCCGGTTTGCTTCCACTCTCTCTATACAACTTGTCTTCACTGATCAGCTTTCAGGTAGGGGGCAACATGCTGCATGGAAGCATTCCTACTGATATCGGCAACAGATTCCCCAGCATGCAGATTCTTAGCTTGTCAAGTAACCAATTCACCGGGATAATCCCTTCTTCAGTATCTAATCTCTCCCATCTCACGACACTCAACCTCGAGCAAAATAGATTGAGTGGGCATGTGCCTGCCACTTTGGGGAGGGTGCGAGCTCTGCAAAATTTGCTCTTGACAGAAAACAAGCTTGAAGCAAATGATAAGGAGGGATGGGAATTCATCAATTCTCTATCAAACTGCAGCCAACTGCGGTGGTTGATACTCAGTGACAACTCTTTTGGAGGACACCTACCAGGTTCAGTTGTGAACCTCTCAGTGACCCTTCAAAAGCTATACTTGGATGACAATAGGATCTCTGGGAGTATCCCTGCAGACATCGGAAATCTTGTTGGTCTCAACATACTGCTGACTGTGAACAATTCTATGTCAGGAGTGATTCCGGACAGCATTGGGAAACTAGAAAACTTGGTAGACCTTGGCCTGTATGGTAATGCCTTGTCAGGTCTCATACCACCGTCTATAGGAAATCTCACAAAATTAACTAGGTTCCTTGCATTTTACAACAATCTGGAAGGACCAATACCAGAAAGTCTTGGGAAGCTGAAGAATCTATTTATTCTTGATCTCTCGACAAATTACTACCTTAATGGTTCTATACCCAAGGCAATTTTGAAGCTTCCTTCACTTTCATGGTACTTAGATTTATCATATAATTCTCTTTCAGGACCCCTTCCATCAGAAGTTGGTACCATGACTAACCTCAACGAGTTAATCTTGTCAGGAAACAAGTTGTCTGGCCAAATACCTAGTAGCATTGGAAACTGCATAGTTTTGGTCAAACTTTTACTGGATAAGAACTCGTTTGAGGGTAGCATACCTCAATCTCTGAGCAACTTGAAAGGACTCAGTGTATTGAATCTGACCATGAACAATTTGTCTGGTAGGATCCCTGATGCCATTGGTAGTATTAGAGCTCTACAACAGTTGTACCTAGCACAGAACAATTTGTCAGGGTCCATCCCAGAAGATTTGCAGAATTTGACATCGTTGTCTATATTGGATTTATCTTTCAATAATTTGCAGGGTGAGGTGCCAGACAAAGGTGCTTTCAGAAACCTAACTTACATATCAGTTGCTGGGAATAATCAGTTGTGCAGCAAAACACATCAACTTCACTTGGCAACTTGCTCTACAAGCCCATTAGGAAAGGACAAAAAGAAGAAATCAAAGTCTCTTGTAATTTCTTTGCTAACATCTATAATAGTCTTATCATCAGTTTCAGTTATTCTCCTTGTTTGGATGCTCTGGAAGAAGCGCAAACAAAGGCATAAGAGTACTGTAGAATCTCCAATTGCTGAACAATATGAAAGAATTTCATACCTTGCATTATCAAGAGGAACCAATGAGTTTTCAGAAGATAACTTGCTCGGAAGTGGTAGATATGGTGCTGTTTATAAATGCATTCTTGATAATCAGGACAAAACCTTGGCTGTCAAGGTCTTTAACCTTTGTCAATCTGGATCTTCCAAGAGTTTTGAGGCAGAATGTGAGGCCATGAGAAGGATACGACACCGTCGTCTTATAAAGATCATTACTTGTTGCTCAAGTACAGACCCCCAAGGTCAAGAGTTCAAGGCATTAGTTTTCGAATTTATGCCCAATGGTAGCTTAGATCTTTGGCTTCATAAAAAATCTCAGCTCACTTCAAGCAGGACACTTAGCCTTTCCCAGAGGTTGGATATAGCTGTTGATATAGTCACTGCAGTGGAGTATCTTCACAATAACTGTCAACCGCAGGTAATCCATTGTGACCTTAAGCCAAGCAACATTCTTCTTGCTGAAGATATGAGTGCCCGAGTAGGAGACTTTGGCATATCAAAATTTCTCCCAGAAAATACAAGGATACAAAATTCATATAGCTCAATCGGAATAAGAGGTTCCATTGGCTATGTTGCTCCGGGTGACAAAAATTCTTAATATTGTTATCTTGTGCGTTTCAAACAAATGTGACATGCTAATGGTTTTTTTTTTTCTGACGTAACTGTAGAGTATGGTGAAGGCTCTGCAATCTCAACATCTGGTGATATTTATAGTCTTGGCATATTGCTGCTTGAGATGTTTACCAGCAGGAGCCCAACAGACAACATGTTCAGAGATTCACTAGATCTGTATAAGTTCACCGAGGAGGCTCTACCAGACAGAACCTTGGAGATAGCAGACTCAACAATATGGCTACACAAAGAACCGAAGAACAGCACTACTACGGGAAGTAGAATCCAGGAATGCTTGATTTCTATCTTCAGGATTGGGCTATCCTGCTCGAAGCAACAGCCTCGAGAGCGAGCATCGATAAGAGATGTTGTGGTGGAGATGCATGCGGTCCGAGATGCATACCTGATGTTTGGCAATTAGCCTCCAAGGGAATATGAGAGAGAGAGAGCATCCGCTAATCAGACATCCAGAGAGATTTCCCCAAATCATCATCACTCTCAAGGTGCAGTGCTGCAATAGCTCCTTGTCTCGTAGCCTCATGCAACCTAGCAATGTTGAATCATTGAATTCAAGCGATCAATACGAACGACTCAGAAGCTTACCTGCCAAGCGATCAATACGAACGACTCAGAAGCTTACCCGCCACAGTGGCCCACATGGCGAAAAAACACCAAGGATAAGGAGGGTGGTAACATTTATTCTTGAAGTGTAATCTCGAGTTTCCAATCACCATGGGTGATTGCAGCGAACTGTCGTGAGAAGATAATGTCTTCCAGATTTGAGATTTATACGTAACACAAGTATATTGGTGAACTTAACATAACTCAATCCTTTGGCAAAACATGCTATTACCACATAGTTCTTGCTTAGCCAATTTACCATACAGAACTGAATATAGATACTCATATCAACAAGCGAGACTTTACAGAGCCCTGTATCGTAATCCAAACAAATGTAACTACATCATCTGCATCAGGCATGATTTTTGTTGCGCCATTCCTTAACCTATCGTTCAAGACTACCCCTTCCCCGATGCAGCAGTACAGCAGTAGTAATAACATCTCGAAGGAAATACCATACCATCACAGTTTTAAACATTCAGAAACAAGCACTTAATTGGAAACACCTTTGGCATGAAAGTTTGGATCCAGTCGAGAAAGTACAACAAAGATCTCCGTTTCTTGTCTTGTTCTAGCTGCTCCACTAAGTAAGAAATAATATAAAAAAAATATGACTGTTTGCCTGAATGCAAGCATACAGGATCACTCCTCCATAGCATCACCGCCCTCAGTGACCTCAACCTTCTGCTTGAGAGGTGTGATCTTTGTGGACAGTACCTCTGCAAAGAACAGAATCATGCATTTACTTTATATTGTCCAATATGCCATATCCTGTATAACATTCATTAGCATGGAACTCACCAGTCTGCCCCTTGGTGAAGCTATATCCCTTTGAACTAGCATAAGTTCTGGGATTCGGCAACTGGTGGTTTCTCAAGTATTCTGTCTTCCCCTGGTAATGCAGGAATAGGTCAGCAGAGCAGTTTAAAGGGTTGTATTTCATGTTTTCCAATTTGCTCAAAGGCATCCATGGAAAATAGTAGCATGCAAGATGCAGTGTACAGTTTACTCAAATGAGCATCGGTGGAAATTAGTGATCAGAATTCAGTAGTGTAAATCAAACATGTCTCAAGTGTAACATATATCAAATCAAGTTCGATAAATATAATGTTGTGGAGATAATTTGAAAGTTCATTCTCTAATAAGTAAACAATACAGATTTTGCAGTGTTTTGTCAATTTCAGTCAATGAAATAGAAAATGCATCTGGTAGTATCAATTCTTGTTCTACATTTGCTTCAAAAGTTTGCTTGGGCCTTCTCTGTTGGTGTTGTAAGTGAGATAAACCTATGTTCCCTCTAAAATTTTGTAAACGCTTGTTACTTTGGTTTCTTTGTAATGGATCTTGGCCAGGGTTTGGTCCTGGAACTATAAAATAAAAACAGAAAACACGTACCTTGGTTATCACACAGACATCCACGTTGCTTCCACTACCCAAGTCATTGAAGATACCTGCACATATTGCATCTGACACCAGTTGTATTCCTTCTTCCCTCTAGAATATATAAAGGAATTTAATATCAAACTTTCGTAAATCAAAACAAACACCACCAAATGCAAGTTCAGTCACCACAGAAGGCAATACTATATTACCAACATAGTTAAATGCAGGAACTATTGCTCTGATTCACTTACAGTGAGCCCTTCTTTGTACTTCGACTCGAACACTGACATCGCAGCAAGGGATCCAGAACCCATCGTGGCAAAAGGAAGAGTATCAGTGGAGCCATGTGGATAAACCTGCACATTCAAAGTTAATGTAACTACCCTAAATTACACTTACGCCAAGTAACAAACAGGTATACTCAGTTACTAACAGTGTGAAGATGTGGTCCAGTACAATCCACTCCACCAAGAACAAGGGCAGCACTGACATGACCTTGATACCTAAACATAATGGCATAAGCAGGTCAGACGTTGACACAATGACAAAAAAGTTGTAAATGTGCCTGTGAGAGGTACTCACCTAAAGAGGTGTGACTTCAGCAGTGTAAGAGCAGTTACGACTCTAGATTCGCGACCCGTTGCATAACGGTGCAGCTGTAGCTGCGAGCTGACCATGTCTGAAGTAAAGGAAGGAAATGTCACTAAGGAATTCAACGGAAGAAACAGGAGTTTGAAAGGGCAGTAAGATTTCGTTGCTGTGGTCATCTACCTGTAACAGCCTCTGTGTCAGCAGCAGTTCCTGCTCCACAGCAATAAATGTTTGGCGCCATAAAGTGGATCTTCTCACAATTCTTATCAGCAACTATAGGCCCCTCAGTTGCCCTTGTGTCTGCCCCAAGAACAACCCCATCCTACATATGAAAGCATGATTTAGTCAAATGGTAACCTCAATGGATATGGGGCATATGAAACAATCCCTGTTCAAACACAATGCAAGGTCTTTCATCTATTAGCATTGGCTAAGAGCACCAGTGTATATACTAAAAAATTTTATAAAGTAATGACAAAATTACTGTCATCCATTGGATTTATGCAAATCAGGATCAATTAAGATTTGTCAGAGAATCATTTGCAGAGTATTTTTTTCAGTAGGATGAAGAAATATTTATGTATATGTTTTCCCCTATAAGCTAATACAATGGAAACCAACAACAAAAAAACGGGGGCTTTCACTCCTAGGAGGGTAGTTTGCGCTGAACAATTTCCAAGTTTGCAACATCAGGACACACAGCAATGTGTCCATGTGCAACAGGAAGTTAAGCATGTGATTGATATCAGAAAGATTTTTCAATGTTTAGTTGAGATGCTCAGCACCCTAAAGAGATTTCCAGACCTAACTAACATTAAGAAACAACAGCACTAGGCTGATGCCTACAAAATTCGCAGACATGGTAAATTGGCAAATACCAAAAGGTATTTCATCTATTAGCACGGGCTAAGAGCAACAGCACACATAGTAAAAGTAGTTAAACAATTGTTAAGGCAAAATTACTATCAGCCATAGATTTATTCAATCACAAGTTGATGCAAAACAGGATTCAATCAAGTAGCATTTGCCAGAGAATCATATGTAGAGTATTTCTGCATCACCAGGATGGAAAAGGTTGTATGTATAACTTTTCCCCTGAGCTAATACAATGGAATCCAACATAATGAAAGAATGGGGGGCTTTCACCCCTAAGAAGGTGGTTTGCGCAGAACATTTCGCTGATTTGCATCATCAGCACGTAGCACAATGCGGGCACGCGGAACAGATTGGTATGCAAGTGATTGATATCAGACAGATTTTTTTTTTCTAGGCTCAATTGATCTGCTCGGCACCCTAAAAAGCGGTTTCCAAACCAAACTAACATGAATGAACAAACGGCAGCAACAAAAGGTTCATGCCTACCAAATTTGCAGAAACGGGTACCGCTGAACCAGCAGAAGATACAGTAATTGCCGGAATACCAAAAGGCAGGCAACACAACAAGTGTAGGCGGCCGCACCTGAAAGACGAGGCCGACGATGGTTGTCCCGGTCTTCCTGAATCCCGGGAGCTTGAGCCCGTTCTTCTGCAGCATGTTGTTGCGGCGGCACAGGTCGAAGCTGAACCCGCCCTTGGCCGGGAGATCCATGGAGCCCGTCATCCTTCCTTCCTGCACCACAAAGGCACCGCCACGGGTCAAGGCCACGGCGAATCGCCACGGGAAGGAGTGAAGCGGAGCAGGTGAGATCCAAACAAAAATCGCTTGGATTAGGGTTCTGGGGGTACCTGGTGATGCTCGTCGCAGCTAGGTGAGAGGGGCGCGAGGCGTGCCTGACCTGAAGTCGGATACGAGGCTGGCGAGAGCGGCGGGAGGCGAGGAGATGTCGATGTAGTTATTGAAAAACATTTTTTACAAGAAAAAACATATAAACAACTAAAACGAATATATTAATAAGGAGACTCCCGGTACAGAAACCATCATAGTTTCTATGAACATTAATTATACTGCCACCTAAACGTTTTGCTAATATAAAAGGTAGTTATTGAAGAGAGAGAAAATATAGAAATCAGATCTAAGTTAGAAACCATGTCTACACGAGAACTGTAACGACCTGAGTTCGTTGCAACACTAGACAACCCTTTTAATCATCGAAATGAGTCAACCATCGACCCTCCATGAAGACTCGCAACATGCAACACGCCGCCTGACATCAATAACCCATAGAAGCACCTTGTGAGAATCTCCGGATAACCATGGTTAGGCTCATATCCGAATCAGAAGAGAACATCTACATGAATTAGGATCCATCCCATTGACATCATCAACAGCAACCCAATCTTAAGGAACTACTTAAGATGCAATGCATTGGTCACCAATGACCAACCATCTAATGACTTAGTCAATTCGGCAAAGACACAGACTATCGGACAATCAGCCAGTTTACTGGACCATCCGATGGAGCACGAAGCAACACCAGAAAGTGGGAAATGAGATGTTTGCCACTTAAGTGGGTGGGACCCACATGTCAGCACGAAATGGGAAAGATATCTCTCGGCTGAAACCTCACTCTCTCACTCATCCTCCCATTTGCATCACTCTCTCTCTCTCTACTTACTCAAAGACAAGCAAGAACCCTAAAAACTAGAGAGGGGAGAGATTGGAGAAAGAATTGAAAAAGATGAAGGAGAGGAAGGAGGGGAGCAACAGCAGCAGCCCATGGACACCCTCCACCCGCAACCTCTTCATGGTGAGCTCAAGAAGAACTATCTTCATTTCTTGGATTCTCCACCCAATGGTCTAATTCATGGATTTGTGTGTAAGATTGAAGATCTCCTGTTGGTAGTAGCTCCACCATATGTAAGTAAGTTCAAGAAGTTCCTACCTAA